AGCCGGACTCCCGGAGACCCTCCGCCGTGCCTTCACCTCCGACCCCCAGCCTCGCCAGGCTCAGCATCGCGTCCGGGCCGGACACGCAGCACTGACCCCGGCCTGGGCCCAGCCTGTCTGTGGCAGCACTGTTGCCTGCCATCCTGAAGAGCTGGGCCCGCACCCTCTTGCTTCAGGGTCAGCGGCCACCAGCTGGTCTGGCTGGCTCCAGAGTCCCTGGACTCCTAACCCACCCCTTCTGCAAACCTCCCCCATCCTCCTGGGTGAGGGGCCGTCCAGAGCCTGGCGTCCAGCAACAGAGGCCTGCAGAGGCTGCTGGGCTGGGCGATGCCACATGCTCCTTCCTCCCAGGATCTGGAAGCAGGTAGAGACTGGGCCAGTGCGGGCGGGCCTGGGTCCAGCCTGGAAATAAAGGCTGAGGCAGGGCCAGGCAGGACCCTGAGTCGCGGGGAGGGAATCCACTCTAGACATAGCTCAGTGACACCCTGGGTCCCTCTGTCCTGGCTCCTGGGTCCTCTGCAGAGACCCCAAGGGCAGTGTCACCCTGAGAGGTTGGCATCTGAGCAAGCAGGGTGTCTGAGGCCCCCACCAACTGCCCTGGCCTGAGAGGCTGCCAGCATACACAGGAAAAAAATTGACGGCCTTTGGCTCTCAGAGCATTTTTCTTAAATGCAAATTATCTGCCAATGTTAAAGAAAGATAGGTCATACAGAAGTCCTGTATTCTGCCTGGGCGTGATGGCGCACACTTGTGATCTCAGCACTCTGGGAGGCTGAGGCAGGAGGATTGCAAGTTCAAGCCTAGACTGAGAAGATAGCAAGACCTTGCCTCAAAATTTAAAAACACATAGGGCTGGTGATATAGCTCAGTGGTGCCACATCTGCCTAGTAGGCGCAAGGTCCTGAGTTCCAACCCCAGTACAGGGGCAGGGGAATTAAAATTATGTAGGGCATCTCCCACCCAGAGTCAGTAGTCATCTGGGGATTACTGGTGATCACTCGGTGCTGGAGGCCTCTTTTGCGGGGAAGACCACTAGGGATTAAACCCCTGCACTTTGCCCTGAGCTACATCTCCACCCTCTGTTTTTTGCAACAAAGTCTCACTAAATCACTACGCCCAGGCTGGGTTTGAACTTTGTGATCCTCCTGACTCAGCCTCCCAGAGTGCTGGGATCTGGCAGGGGTGGGAGGGAAGCACACCCAGCTGCCCACTGCCCTGTCTGGATGGATCTATAGTTCCCCACCCCTCTGGATCGTTTCCTGACACCCAGGGGCTCCTGCAGTTTAAATCCTTGCCTGGTCTCTGGGTTGAGTTTGCAAGCCTTGTCCAGGAGCACTCCCAGCTCTGCCCAGGGTGTCTTCTCGGCCTGGAGTGTCTCCAGGTTCTGTCTGCCAATGTCTCTGTCCATGTCTCCACAGGCTGTTGCTCAGGCTGGTCTCTGCTGCTGGCCAGTGACCTGAATCGCCCCAGTGTCCTGGCTGGGGCCAGGTGCTTCACTCCCAACGGTGTCCACTCAGGGCCTGGACCCAACCCTCCTATGCCCGACACCCCAGGTTCACTTTTGGATAGAAAATAAACTTCTATTTTTGTAGCCTTTAGTGCTGGCTGTTTCTGGGATTTGGGCTAAGCGCCCCAGGGCTTTGGGGGAGCCCAGACAGTCATCCCTGCCACCCCCAGGGACCTGTCACTGTCTCTAGGAAAGGCAGAGACGCCAGCCAATCCACTGGGTGCCGTGTGAGCCACCAGGGACCCAGTGGTGAGGAGAATCCTTAATGAGTCCCAAGGGCCTGTCATAGCCCTTCCTCCCCATCCTGGGTCAGGCCCTAGTCCAGCCCTGCAAAGATGGGCCCGGGGACCCCTGGCTCTCCTGTATAGGGAACTGCTGTGAGTTAAGGGGGGTTGTTACCACCTAACACTGATCACTGCCAGGGGGTAGGAGGGGTTTGGGGTGTTATAAGAAACAGGCACCCTGGGCCAGGCATGATGTTGAGGTGCTGTGACCCCAGCACTGGAGAGGCTGAGGCAGGAGGATCACGGGGAGGGGGGGTTAACTGTGTTCAAGTCCAGCCTGAATTACAAAGAGACCCCGTCTCAAGAATCAAAGGAAAGAAGGAAGGAAGGAAAAAAAGAAGAAAGAAGAAACAGGCACCCCGGTGATCAGATGGAACTAGGTGTGGGCGTAGCTTTTTGTCAGGTTGCCCCAGACTGGCTCTACAGAGTTATAGTTGGTTAAGTCGGTGTCCGAGGGGATAGAGGCCACAGCTGTCGCGATGGGTTTTGTTTTCATACAGTTTTTTTGTTTGTTTTTTGTTTTTATTTTTTTGGGGGGGGCTGGGGTACTGGGGATCAAACTCGGGCCCTTGTGCTTGCGAGGCAGGCAGCAGGACCACTGAGCTAAATCCCCAGCCCTGTTTTTGTTTTTAAACAATCTCTCTTTGTAGCTTAGGGCGGACGGAACGCACTATGTACCCTAGGCTGGCCTTGGACTCAGGCGATCCTCCTGCCTCAGCCTATCCTCCTGCCTCAGCCTTCCGGGAGTGCTGGGCTGACAGGAGGGCGCCACCACAGCCGGCTCTACGTGCAGGTTTTGGGTAGTGTCCCTGAGGGAGTCGCAGGAAGAGCAGGCACCGGCGAGCGCTGGCAGGCGTGGCTGTGGTCTCCACTAGAGGAAGGGCGCAGGTAGGGTGGCCGGCAACGGAGAGCAGAGTAGCGCTGGATGGGGTGGAGAGGGTCCCGGGATCCGGGTAGGGCTTCCCAGTCCGCCGTACACCGTGCCAACCCACTGCCGGCGCCCT